TCTTTATACACATATATTATGTATTGTGAATACTGCCCTGGAACTATTGCAACCTAATTTTAGAGTACAGTTTTATAAAAGCACTAGAGTTGTTTTCCAAGGGTAGAAATCAGCAGCAGCAGGTCCCTCCCACCTGCTTTCTGTCACAAAAGATAGAGTGTCTCAAGTGGCCTCCACCTGAACTGATACATTATAGTTCCTCAAACACAGAGCCCCTGCAGGGGCTCCTGAATGTCACTGGAGTGGTAATCTGTCAATCAAGGGTAACTCCCAAGTACTCCCTGGGTGCATTCAAGCGAACAAACATTCACAGTAACACTTCAAAACTAGGCATTATTTTCATATACATCTACATAATAAAGTCGAACACAGAGTGAGAGGCAGCAGAAGAATGTGAAGACGCTGAAAAATACTTGCAGGAAATACAAGTCCCATTCGCTTAGGTGGAAAATTTCACATCATCTTGAATACTGAAACCACTGCCGGGTGGACCTGCCTTTTAGAACTTGGAGGACTGATTTGAAAGAAATTGGTGCTGTTATACTCATTTAAAGCAGCAACGAAGCAGAACGTTTTACCTACTACAGAGGAAAACAAAAAGGAAAAAGAAAAGCTTTGGCAGGCCTCTTCTACACGGGCTCTGTTGTGCATTGACTGGAGAGCGGGAAGAAGATGAATGGCAGTTCTGTTGCCTTAGGCAACTTAATATGACTAAGAGCACCAAGGAAGGCTCACCAGGATTTGCAAGTCTGCTTTACAAGGAGTCATATAGTAAAGTACACTCATTTCTTAGAGCCCTAAGACTACACACCACTTAAGAATATTAACTTCATCCTTCTTAATTCAGTTTATAAAAATCAGACAGCTTTAAAATATTTTTCTGAGGCTCACACGAGAAAACTCAGTGCTGGAATTCTAGTTATAATTACGTTCACACGTTGCACTTTCTAATACAGACGGTTTATTGAACAAATAGAATTGAGAAGTGAAGTCAATTGCATATAATCAGGAAATCAATAGGGGACTTAAACCTTATGCAGAAAGCACTGCAACTGAAAAGGGAACCCTGGCTATGTTGTAGGGAGGAGGAACTCTAAAATAAAGGACACCATGTCATTGGCACTTCAAACACGCCTGTCTGTTTCAAAGTGTTGTATTTCAAAACATTTTGAATGGCATTCAATTCTTTTAAGGAAAAATGCCCCGATGAGAACTGAAGACAAGCTACAAAACCTGAATTAGAATCACTCTAATAATAAAACTTGAGCTTACGTCTTTCAGAAATCTCACAGGCAAACTGCAAATGCAAAACAGCTCTTTAAATCAGGTTTTTCCAAGCTATTACTATCTAAATTGTCAAGAAAGCACATGCTTTAAAAAAAAGCTATAAATATTTAAGAGGGAAAGAAAAGCTCCTACCTAAAAAAGGTTTTTCCCATAAGCCCAGGGTGTTTCTCATAGAAAAGCACAGGTAGGACAAAGTGAAAGTGGAGGCTGTTTGACCTACCATCGAACTTCTTGTGCCTGGACACGAAGGTAGTGCGCACGAAGTGACTAGTCTCTTCCACGAGGTTTTCAAACTCCAGTTTGCTCTGCTGGCTGAGCTTGTCCTCCATTTCTGTGGTGCAGCAGGTATATTCTTGAGGACAGATTCGTAAGTGCTCCCCTGCAAAGACAAGCTAAATGTCAGTATGAAACGATAAGGACTTAGGGGAATTCGCGTCTCTCATGTTGCCCTCAAATCCGGGGGTATTTGTCCCGTCAACCCCTCCAGCCATCCCCATGAACTTGATCTGCGCCTCTGTGTACTTAACATTGCAAACATTCTGGACTTTTGGTGAACCAGATGCTATGGTCTGAATGTCTGTGCCTCCTCCGCCCCCGACACACACACACACATACACACACACAACCACCACCACCCATAACTCATATGTATAAAACCCCAGTGGTTAGGTCATGAATGGAATTAGTGCCTTATGAAAGGGACCCCAAATAACTAATTAATCCATCCCTTCTTTCAGCAAAAAGGTGGCATTTGTGAACTAGGGAGTAGGTGGCAGTCATTAGACACTGAATCTGCCAGGGTCGTGACCTTGGAGTTCCCAGCCTCCAGAACAGGGAGAAATGACTGTGTGTTGTTGATAAGCCACCCAGTTGATGGTATTCCTGTGAGAGCAGCTGGATATTTAGTTCCTGTCCCTGTCATGTAAAGATCTCGGAAGACCAAGGCGATTTTCTGCTCTTATTTGAAATGTACCAAGTAACACCAAATGACAAGAGATGCAAGACAGTTATATGGGTGATTCTTTGGAAACCTCAAGTAAGGCAAAGACAATCAGTCCCATCACCATCGTCCCGGACAGCTAGGGCGAGAAAAGATGGGAATGGGCCCTGAGTTCTCCGTCTGCCTGTCCATCTGTCAGAATGCATCAGCTTTTTATTGGGTGAAAGTGAGTGTGTTTTTAATGGCAGGTCCCAGGTGCCACACATGCTCTCAGTTGACATTTCTTTGTCAGAGAGAAAATGTTCGCCTACAAGGAGGAAGGCACTGATGGGTTTAATTAACGGTGATAGTACTAGTATATAGAAATGTGAAGTAAAAGGTAATGAAAGTCTTGTATTCGATTCAACAGATTTATAGCTGGATATACCAGGCCGCTTGTTTTGACAATATTGCTTTCTTCAATGCTATTTGCAAGTAGGAGCCAAACCTTGGCTTCATGAAATTAAAATGGTCTGAAATGAAAATGTGAGTTTCCAGTTGGTGTAGCTTCTTTAGTGTCAAAAATGTTTAGCAGAAGCTGTGGAGGGAAGATGAAAAATCCACCCGACATCTTGCTAAGAAAACCAACACGTTGCTCCTGCAGATGAAGCCACTGTGGGTCATTTGAAAGCTGCATGCACTTGATGGGATCATTAAAAGTCATTTCTAATGTTTAACAATAGTTATATAATATTATGCCCTGTGACCCTGTCTGATGTACAGGGGGCTTCATGATTCCTCATGTAGTTCAAGGTTTTAGTACCTACTTAAAGCAACCCCAGAATTAAAAAAATTATCTCAGTGTGTATTAATGTTAGATCTCACATAATTCCTAGAAGAGGAGACCATAAAATATCATGTGTATATGTTTTAAATGGGAATGAAAATACTTGTACTTGAGAATGTTAAACATCAAATTCAAGATAACAGTTCCCTCCCAGGAGGAATTAAGATTCGAGAGACAAACTCAAATACTTGTATCTATAATCTTTTATTTCTTAAGTTGTTTGATGGATACAATGATGATTATTATAGTATTATGTTTAGTTTCTCTGTACATTTACAATATTTTGTAATACAAACCTCGAAATATGCCACTAAAATGAAGTAGCCACTACAGTTGTGGGAGAGAGGAGAGCAGAGGGTAGATATTAAAAAAGAAAAGCAAACTGTCCTTGGCATTCAGAATCCAGCCTTGCACTCACTGCTAGGTCACCACAGTCCACTAAATCTAAACAAACTCACAGAACACCAACCACAGACAAGATACTCTAAGGCCATAATAAAATGCAATAAAACAAGGCCACTTCAAAACTGTGTCTAAGCACAGACAAAAACAAGGTCCCCGTGCCATCTAAAAATGCCTCCTGTCCACGGCAAAATGAATGTTTGTTATGTCTTTACCATTTACAGATTGATCTTCACACGAGGCTCCCTCCTTGTTGATCAGATTTACTGAGATGCCTTATTATAGAACTGCTTCTGCTTTCCAACAGTACCCAGTGTAGTTTGAAGCCCTGCTTCTTTGAACCTTCCCCCAAATTACTCAGCCACAATCCAAATCCTGTAATAGATTCCTTTGAAGTCTCTCTTGTTGAGAAACCCATGGTCCTCCATGGTGCATTCTCGCTTGCTGCAGTGAGAGATAACCCAGATGGTTAACCTGCAGATGTGTTCCTGATAGGTTCTGATTTGAAAGTACTGGTTTGCCAAAATGGGGACAGATAGGACAACACAAATTTTGAAACAATGTCCCCAAGTGATTCGGATATTCTGATATACCCCATTGAGAAGCATAGTTCTAAAGTTTAAGGTACTGAGAATGGAATAAGTTATTAAAAGGAAATGGTTCACAATCCCTAATTTTCTTTATAAAGAGAGGAAGGGAGAGGGAGAGAGAAACATTTTAATGTGAGAAGAGAACATAGATTGGCTGCCTCCTGCATGCCCCCTACTGGGAATCGAGCCTGAAACCCAGGTATCAGGCTCCATACCTGGTACATGCCCTGACTGGGAATCTGACCAGCAACCTTTTGGTGCACAGGACAACACCCAACCAACTGAGCAACATCGGCCAGGGCTCACTAATTTTCTTTTTACAAATATGAAATCTAACCAATAAAGAAAAAAACCCTATTCAGACTGACTGGATATTTAGTATTAACCAGTTTGTAGTGTGTTCCCTTTTCTGACCTGCTTATAAACTGTTTTTGTAAATCCCCCTATACTATTTCTTATTTCCCCCTGTTCCATTTCCCACTCTGTATGTACAAATGAAATGTCTATTTCTCAAGATTTAGAACATCAGGCTGGATTCCACTTCTGGATCATTAAAATTGAGTTTACAACAAAATGCACAGGGGCATCTTGGTTTTTTTTAAAAAAATTGACCAAAAGAATATCAATATTTTATGACCCAAGGTATATTTTGATATTTGTGGAAGAAACCCTATGGATCAACAGTCATAAAATTAGGTTGGATACATAATCTGTAATTAGCCAAAGAAAATTGGTATTTGATGTTTTGATGAATAAAAACCTAAAGATAGTTACTTCTTAATGAGACAGCTTTAATCCAAAATTATTTCATTCGCGCGCGCGTGCGTGCGTGTGTGTGTGTGTGTGTGTGTGTGTGTGTGTGTGTGTAAAGTCATAGAGGTATATGTAAGAGGTTGCCTTACTAATTCAAAGCAGTTTTAGCCTTTTTATAGAACTGAAAGTGTCCCCAACAAGTCAATTTCTTTCTCCTCCTCTATATGGGTTCCTGGCAGAGAGAAAACTAGGGAGATGAAGAGACAGACATGGACAAGCTTGAAGACAGAAAGTGAAGGGATGGGTAGATCACTTGAATGTTGAAGAATCCTGCTATGGAAAGAGAAGATATTTCCTGCAACGCTCATCAGTATTCCCTAACACACAGGATTAGGACACATGAAACATGTGGCTGATTTTAGGCTGAGGCTTCCTTTCTTTTTCACCTATCCTATATAATAAAAGCCTAATATGCTAAGTTTCCAGTTGTCCAATCATCCATTCAACCAATCAAAGTGTAATATGCTAATGATATGCTAAGGCTGCTCAACTGCTCACTATGATGTGCACTGACCACCAGGGGGCAGATGCTCCAACTGGTAGGTTAGCTTGCTACTGGGGTCCAGCCGATGAGGACTGAGCTAGACAGGCCGGACATGCCCTGGAGCCCTCCCACGGTCCCTTCCCAGCTGGCCAACCTCCTGTGTCCCTCCCCAGCTCCGATCATGCAGATCGTGTATCAGTGGAGTCCCTCGGCCTGGCCTGCACCCTCTCGCAATCCAGGACCCCTCAGGGGATGTCAGAGAGCTAGTTCCGGCCTGATCCCACAGGCCAGACTGAGGGACCCTACTGGTGCATGAATTGGTACATTGGGCCTCTAGTTACTAGATAAGAAAGCTGTGGAAGACTTGAACTATTGAAGTGTAGTTCCTTTTCCCCCCTAACCTGAGGCCCCTGATACTTCCCCCCAAAAAACTGATGACTTTGAATGGCCAAAAGATTTAGGACAATTAGACATTTGTTCTGAGTGTGTTCTTATTTATTTTAGGGGGAGTCCTGTTTAAGAATTTTCCACCACTATTCCTTTCTCGGATTCCCTTAGGTTCTTTAGGTTTTCTATTATATAATTAGATACAACATTAACTCAAATGGAGTGCACTTAGACACCTCCTAGATCACTAATAATAAAGATAATAGTTGATTCCAGAAGATTAGAATGAAATACCATAAATGTAGATGTGGGATTGAAACTATAAGGATTGTACCTTTTACTCATCAGACATTTATTGATGACCCTCTATGTGCAAAGCATGATGATAGGTCATGTCCAGCAAGATGAGACAAAGAGGATCATGCAATCAGCTTAAACAGGTGCATGCTCTCTTAGGGTACCTGAAGCTTATGCCAGTGAATACCTGAGTCCCTGCATTTTTCAATACCCTCTTACTAGCTCTAAAATGAATAAGGGGAATAGTAGATGTGAAAGATAGGAACTGCACCAGGAAGTTAGAGAGTGAGCTGAAACTCAGGGACATATATTCAGATTGTAAATTGTCATCTGTTTTCCAAAAAACAAATGGGACTTTTCCTCCATCTATACACCCCCTTCACCAATGTGTCACTCTTTACAACATCTTTCTCCAAATGCATGCTAGATGTTCATTTTCACGCCAAGATGCTGAGGTGACAGCAGAAATGTGATTCTGCCATGTCACACTCCCTCTGAGGCTGGCCCTTGGTCTGAAGGCTGCCAGGAATAGGCTTCGTGAGTGGCATGGTGGGAAAGAGCAGGGGACAGGAGGGCCTCATTAACCAGAGAAGCCAGCCTCTGTGGGTCTGCAACAGCAGAGACTGCCCTTGGCAGTGACATGTGA